ATTTCTTAGTATGATATCGACAAAATCTGAAAAAAAACTTCAAATCAAAGTCTTTAATTGACAATAAATAATGTAAGACATAGAAAAAGGAGAAAAACGATTAAATTTTTCAATACTATGCTAAGAAAATCTTATAAAAATCGCCATATTATTCATACAATTTTTTGATTTATTCTTCTACATTTATAATAATCTATAAGAACTACTTCATTGTTTTCTATTGGAATTCATCAGCAGATACTCAAGACATTAGAATAAGATTTTATAAGAATCTACAAGAACGTTTTATATCGTGTTTAGAAAAATTTATTTTCTTACCACTTAAAAAAATTAGATTATACATAAGGAAATTTCAATTTACTCAAGGAGTTTTTTGTTATTATGAATTTGTTGTTTAAATATAAACCTAAAATAAAATTTATTAGAAACTTTGTCCGAAAAAATACTATTGATGGCGAGATTCGATCCTGGTATCCTGGGGTCCTCAGTCCAGTACGCTGCTGATTGCTCTATTCTAAAACATGACGACACGATTTTCGCCTTAGCTATTTAAGTTAAGAATTTGGAATAATTTAAACATTAATTACGTTTGCTCTATACCAAACATTATAAAAATTATATTTTCATCTTAATATCCCGCGATAGGATTCTATATAATTCGAGTGGAGTACATGAGAACAATTCCTGTGGAAAATCAATACATTCTTATTGGTAAATAATGTTATCAGCCAATCAACTATTTTCATAAAAAACTATGGGATTGTGTCTCGCAAGATCTTATAAGAATTCATTGATCGATGACGCCGTTTGATATTCTGTTTAATTTGGCTCGATTCTCTCAGCATGAATGTTAGCAGAATAAACAAAAACTTATTAGTAGAAAGTGTTCTTCAACGTGTCAACTTTTTCTATAAGAGACTTTGGGACTGTATCTCATAAGAACTCATAAAAATTCATCAATTGATGACGCCGTTTGATGAATATGATGAATGTAAAAACATCAGGATAATTCTTAGGTTGTGAATAACTTATTTTTAAGATAAATAAGCTAGATTGTCATTTGATTACTAAATATCGATATTCTCAAATGGAATAAATGATAATAAATCAATTTAATCTCTAATCATCGGTTTACATACATTTATTCGTATATGTATGAATGTTTGAATATTGTTGAGAATTAATCAATTCTCAGTTTGAATTTGTCAGCTGACAAGAATTTCGGCGGCCATCTGATGACTGGATCGATAACCAATCGACCAAATAATCAATATATACGAGCTCGAGCAGTTAGCAAGCAAGCTCAGCCCCCAGTAAATCGTGCAACCCGCCCCCCCCCTCAATTGCGAATTTCTCGATTTCTAATGTAAATATGAAAAAAAGTTTTAAATAGAAGCTGTTCAGAATGAAAGTTTAATAAAAAAAAAGTACTGATCACTTTCTTTCATATCTACGATTGTTCTGACTTCGAGTCAGCCGGAATAAAGAAAATCGAACCAAGTGGACTGTAATATTAATTCAGGAGGTTGATGCTGTACGTGTGACTGTCCGTGAGGCACTATGGCGTCGACGCCAGCACAGTTTTGCGCCAAAAGACACACAACTGCTTTTCCTGGACCACTTTCACTGATGAGACTGCTACTTCTTGTTCACTTTAGTCCGTGGGCTACTCACTGAGACGACTGATCTGTATTTCTTCCACAACAAATGAGTTTATAGACAAAATCTGCGATTTGACTGCGAGTAAAAGTACAGAGTCGACCGCATGTGTTGTCTGGAGTTAAGTGACGCCACAAGTGCTCGACTGCGTGCTCGTTGGCGTCAGTAGGGCCGTAGAGTTGCCTGCTGGACCATGAGGGAAATACTTCCCGACGATTGGTTCAGTGAGTTGACTGACGCGCCGGTGGACAAGTCAGGCATTAAACAATTTAAAGGATTCTCAGACTGACTGACTTGGGGTCCTCCGAGTCAGAACAATGATAGATAAAAAGTCATTCGTGACTGAAGCTCCACTATTGACAGAAGCTTCAGTCAAGACTAAAAAAATTAATAAAAAATAATTAACGCTACAAATATCACTTTGTGGCGATTTCCTTCGCATTGTAAGATACTAAACTATATCCTCAGAAAAGAAAAAAAATTTTTTAAATTAATTTTTTCATTACTTTTATTCAAAATTAATCTCTAACTTCCCATTAGGAAATTATCAAAAATAGGTCGATTGGTGAAATTTAAATTTTCATCATATCTCCACGTTTCATAGTATTTGCAAGCATACTGACCAATTTTTAGAATAATGTGTGTATGTACGTACGTATATATGGACGTCAGCATTTTTTTCCTTTCGATATTTCAAGAACGGATGGAGATATTGACTTCAACCAAAATTAATTCGAAAGATATTATCAAAAAGAAGATCTGAGTGAAATTTGAACAAATTCGATCGAGCTGTTTTTTTTATAACAAAATAACTCACAAAAGAATGAAAAGATTAGCTATTTAAAATACTTTTAAGTCTAACAATAACATTTTCATTTGGAGATTGAATCGATAGAGACTAAACATTATTTTTCACAACTAAATATAACTTTTATTAAACATACATTGTTTATCACAATACGAATTTTTTATAAACAATTGAAAATTGTGTTCATCGATTACCTAATGCGAATATCACATGAATTTGTTACAATTTTCATAAGAATGCACCGATCAGTGCGGTTTTTAGCTCAAAATGTGCAGAATCGAAAATCAAACAATTTGCCTATAAAACATTCTGCTCTATCTTTCATCTGTCAAAAGTTATACAGGTTTTAATATTGGGGGCGCCGAGCGCCTTTTGTCTTGTGGCGCCGTTGGAAGCAACAAAGAGCAAATAGATATCTCTTTGTTTCACTCGCACTTATACAAAACTACGGCGCATGGGCTGAGCATTAGGAAGCATGAAGTGCGAGTGAAATGCACACTCTGTTTGTCGTAATAATTTCAGGTATGGAAGTTAATAATTTACCAGTGGGGAATTGCTTAATTATTAACTGTATATTTGCGCGCCAGTGTCAACCTCAGACATCTAGACTCTTTTAATGCAACCAACATTCGCCCTGAGAGCTTATCATCTCCAATTGCACCGTGTCAATAATCTGCATGGTAGATAAAAAAATCCAAATATTGAGTAAAATTAATTTCGATTGAACCAAATGACTATAATAGTAGAATAGAGAGGTGACTACCGTTAAAGTATTCAGTTGACTTGAAACGAATATAAACTATTGGAGAATTGACTTCGAAAAGCTTCTACTATAATCTCTAATGCATCTAGAGACTTGAGTTACTTACTATCAGGTTAGGCCGATGACGATAGCTCCGCTGAAAACGCATGCGCAACTGCTTCAATTATGAAACTAAAAGGATGTAGTTATCTAGAATCGATAAACGATACAGACGATTGCAAAAAGACATATCTGCTTGTAAGTCATGAACTGTTCTAATTTTCGATCTATCTTAGTGACAGAGGCATTCAACGTCGTTTGTAGTTAATTGTTATACTGAACGTTTTTCATTGCCGGACCTGAATCTTGGAAGATATTATTAATAAAGGAAAAATCTATGATCCGAATGAACAACAAATGACGCAAATGATCTTAATTTTCATAAACTGCCAAAATTTAAAAGATCTCTCCGATTAATAGTTAATAAGACGAGCGTGAATCCCGTTACCACTTAAAAAACTTTGAAAACTCAAAACGGCCCACACTGAGAAAAGAGTTTGACTGAGCCAAATATATATATTTATTTGCAATATTTTTTCGAGTATTTAGTAGTTATTAACAAATTTAGTAAATCTTATAAAATGGCAGAATTACATTCCATAAGGTGAATACTTGAAACAAAAAGAACATTTATTTGTGGTACTTATTCAGCACAAATAAATCTTATTTTCCAGAAAATTGTGATAAGTTTGAAATATCAGAGCAAATTACATTTCATCGAAGTAAATTAATCAGGAAATAAAATAATTAGTATTATTTCAGATAAATAAAATTATTTACTTTGAAATGTATGAAAGAGTTATAATTACAAAATAGACATATTTTTTTCAATGTGGATTTATTAATAGTTAACAAGCCAAATTTGTCAATGATTAATTAAAGTTATTCTTAGCAGTAAATTATATTTAGTGGTAAGATTGAAATCTTTAGACTGAATATAACATCTGCTAATCGTTAAATAAATAAAAAATTGTGTGAATCAAATTTTTGCAAGTTATCAAATAAAGATGTAGAAGTAGGTGTAGAATAAACTATTTTGATGTAAGTACACAAGTATTTACTGTTAATAAATTAAATTTTACTGCGCTAAAAAAAGGGTATTGGAGATCTTCGATGTTTGTATATTTCTCCCACTTATACATATAAATATATGTATATGCAATTTTTTTCCGAGCTGTATTAGAACTAAAACCTACGCTTTATTTACAATTCATTGCTCTATAAATCAAAACATTGTTTGATGCTTTGGACACGATATAATTAATGGTTACAATCGGATATTACTTTAGTAGAATTTATTAATTCTTTCGTCGAAATGTACCATTATTTTTGAAAAATATCATTTGTTTAGAATAAACAAATACGATTTTAGATAAGCGAATGTATAATTGCTAAAGTACATACATAAACCAAGAATCCGTGTGCTATTCGATTATAGTAAAAAAGATTTCAGCTAACTTGTGTGTATTTCATGTATGAATAGTAAACAAATCGAGTTCCTAAGAATTAGCTGGTCAGAGAAACGCGTCTTTGTTGACCAAACGGCCAACACTTGAGCGAATGCAGTCGGTGTTTGACACAGTATCGATAGTATTCTCTCAAACATCCATTTATTAACAGTTACCAAATCAAGTTTGAAGAAAACAAAAGACGTGTTTAAGTTTCGTACGTTGTCGTTCACATCATTTCTTTTGTGAACGTGAAACGATAAAGACGTGTTGACTTTGTGTAATGGAAGAATTTTTGATTCAATCAGAACTTACTCATCTACAATCAGTTCTAGAAGGTACGTAAATTATATTAAACATGATAATTAGTTTTATATTTATATATAATAAATACATACATATAATAACTCTAAAGCTAATTATTTCACTGCATTCTCTATCAATCTGTGTTGTAGTAAAAAAAAATAGATATCGTAGCATCATTGGATTCTTTTTGTTTTTTTTGAGTTTATGTAGGAAATTTATTCATTTAATTTGATGTATTATATATATCTAATCCCAATTTTTATTTTTTTTTATCCACTAACACCATTAACTCGGTGTATATTCTCAGAAAATGGCATTAATGATTTAGAAATTCTGGGCGAGCTTATTGCTCATCCAGATGATATGAAGGCGGTTATAACAAATGTGGGAGCACGATTGAAGCTAGAAAAGAAATATCAACAATACGTATGTGACATTTTCTTTGATTTCAATTCATTACATCATAAAATATTTATTCTTTTAATTATTAATATTCCATTTTGCATTCCCATTTCTCTATTGTAACTAAAGTATGTCTCATTTTCTTCACTCATGTTGCTTTTTTTGTACTGTAGAAAGGTTTATCGATCACAAAAAAGATTTGTTAATAATTAACACATCATATTTCACATAAAAATGATCTGTTCACTGAAAATATGATGTATTTGTTATGAATAAATATTTTGTAAGTTTATATCAAGCATCTGTAGTGATATAATTTTTCTTTCCATTAATTTAGGTACAAGTAAATAAGGATATCCTCGAATTAAATCTTCCAGTGACTTCAGGTGGTGGATTAGTAAATCCTTTACCACTTCAATTGATTGAACAATTCATTAATATACCACCCGAAACATCTGAAAGTAATTCAGTGGCTCCTGTCTTATGTGCAAGTGATCCAGCTGCTCTTTTGCAAAACAGAGCTGAATCGCCTCCTAAAAGGCAATTATTGAGTCATCGAAATTTGAGTTTTCTGTGGAATCAACATTGGAGGGACATCCAATTGGAGTAGCTCTTTTGAAGATTGGAAAGTTCAACAAAAAACTGACGACTCAATATCAATCGATGATAGTTGACATTATTGTTTGTGAGCTTTTACGTATTCCACGGTATGTAACAAATTATTATGTGTATATTTCTTTATTTCACTATCAAATTATTCATTAATAATTAACTCACTTTATAGACACGTTACAAATGATGATCTTAGTGAAGTTGCTCAACAAATAGTGCTGTTATTTGAAGAAGAGTGTGTCGAAACATTCTATATACCACCCGTGAAAAAAAGAGATTCAAGATCAAATTTATCAGAAGTTTCAAAAGGAAAGCTGCCAGATAAACTTCGTAATTTGAGAACAATAATTCGTGAAGCAGCTCGTATTGGAAAAGAAGTAACGATATATACAGAGAAAGAGAATCACGACCAAAAAGGTATCTATAATTTCTTCTGATTTGCATTTGTGATAATATTGATTATAATTGTTCTTCGAATTTTATTGAAATTTTTAAATATAGTTAGAGCTCTGACACCCAATAATTTATTTTTAAAGTATTAAATAAAAAAAGGTATAATTTAAAATTTGAATGCACATTATAACTGGAATCAAATATTATTTTTCAAAATCATAATTAGAATTATTCATGTATAATTATAATTTCTTTTATTATGATGAAATTAAAATTATGAATAACTACATTTTAAAATAGCAAAGATAAACACATGAATAGATTCAAAAAACCCATACAATTAAATACTTAATTATTTTTTATTTGTAAGAGAAAATTTTGATTTATTTATCAGAAATAGCAACAGCAGAAGAAAGCAAAATTTGGCTTGTGCATAACAGAGAATCGACTGAAGTATTAAACCATTGGAATTCATCGTACATTCTGCGTGAAATAGATTTAGATGAGAAGAACTATGCTAGCATTGAAGACGTGTTAAACAATTGGCCAATTTTAAAAGAATCAAAAAGCTTTGAGCTGGTATAATTGATTTCAAGTGATTTTTAATATTATGTTTTATTCTTACATAGTTGCATGAGTTTTTGTTTTTTTAGATTGAGAAAGACTTTGATAGAAAGTTTCCTAATGCTGGTAACACTTTCATCCTAGAATGGGATAAGTTTTTTGGAAATCTATTGAATTTATATGGACAAAAAATTACAGACCAGGATTCTATATACGTAAAACTCTTAGATAACAAGGACAGCCAACTTCGAGCAGGTACATATATTTAACTTATAAATTAACAATAGATTATCTCATTTTATAAACTAATTTTGTGAACCTTGTTATATAGACAGTAAAACTGCTATACAGTTCTATCTATTAGCGAGTTTAATGGCTCCAAAGTCTAATAAAACAGGGGTTAAGAAAAAAGAAAAAACAACGAATAATGAACGATTAGGTTTTTGGAAACCGAGTATTGCTGAATCGCGTGAAGGCTTCATTCTTCACGTACAGGTATAATCTTCGTTGTTTTTTTATTAATACTTTATTAATATTTTTGAAGAGTAGTAAATAAATATGCATGATATCTGTATAAAGATAGTTTATGACATGATAATAATTTTTTCAATGGTCTACAGATTCCCGGAGACATAGAGACTCGGATATATTCTAAACAAAAAGCATTGATTCAAAAAGGATTGCATCTGCAGCCATTAGTGATTGCTATAGGAGAAGATTTGACGAATATTACTAAGTCGTATGTAAGATTTGAATCAGTTACATATGAACTGCCATCACTTTTAAAAGCTATTGATGTTCTGTTCAAAATATATTTAGTTTTTAATTTAGCTTACCCGTTAGAATGCGAGAATTTCTGTTACTTGATACAGTGGGGAGTCTATCAAATTAAAACTAAATCGGACACGAAAATTCCGTTGGTATTTAATACATTAAATAAGTTAAAGCCCAAAGATAAATAACACTTTGTTATAGTTACTTCGCTATTATTAGATGTTTACTCAATATTTTTATACATGAATTGCTTAATTTTTTCCTTTAAGTTCATACAAAAATTTTTAATTTTATCAAAGAAAACTTTTTGAATAGATTCATTATCATGTAATCTTAATCTCAACGATAGAAAGTATTAAAGTAAATTATAGAAGTTTGATCAAAATAAAAAATTGATAAGTCAACTAATATTGAGATACTCAATTGATTGACATACTATATTGATTTATATTTTTCATCACATCATTACTATAATTTTTTATTTACTTAATTGAATTAAAGCTTAGTGTGGTTTAATTACAAAATGTATTGCAGTATATGCAACGAATTTTCCTCTCCGTGCAGTTTACAAGTATTGCGTCATATGCAACTTTTTCACTCTCATAATACTGTTTATCCGTGTATCAATAATTGTAACAGGACATTTGCATCAATACCAACTCTGAAGAAACATATTAAAATTTGCTTAGTAGCTGCTAATGATTTGGTAACACAAAATAATACACTATTAAAATCAGAAGTCAAGTTTGATTCTACTTTAAATAATACAGATCATAATGACCACACGGAAAGTTCTGAAGATCAGAGTAGTATTGGTACAATTGTCGATGATAAATGTATTGAGCGAAAATTTTTACAATTTATTGGCTATTTGTATAATAAGCCATCATTATCGAGATTGATTGTCCAGGATATTGTAGAAAATTTTAGTGAGTTGACACACGGTATAATTTCCATTTTTAAACATAATTTGAAAACTGCAATTCCTTCTGATTATCACGATTTGATTACAAATATTTTACAAATTAATCCATGTAGCAATTTCGACAGTGAATACAAACGATTCAAATATTTTAAAGGTCAAAATTTACTTATAACTCCTGTACCTTTCAAAATAGGAGAAATTAAAGATGATAAAAAAATGAAAGGTACTGTAGTTTTAACAAATAAACAATGTTTTGCTCAAGTAGTACCAATGCGGATTGTACTGCGTCAATTTTTCGAATTACCCAATGTCTACGAAAGAATAATTAGTTATATTAAAGATGAGTCTTCCCGTAATTATTTACCAAAATTATACACCAGTTTATTTCAAGGAAAAATCTGGGAAAATATTTCAAATTCTTATGGTAAAAAAGTTGTGATACCTCTTTACCTTTACTATGATGATTTTGAAATATCTAATACACTTTCAAGTGCGGCTGGAATATATAAAATCGGTGCATTCTATTTTTCCATAGCTTCAATGCCCCCAGAATATTCTTCTTCGATTGATTCCGTTTTTTTAGCTGAATTTATCCATACTATGGATTTAAAAGAGTTCGGAAATGAAAAATGTTGTCGAGCTATTGTTGATGAATTAAAATTCTTGGCAGAAGAAGGGATTTGGGTAGATGTAAATGGCATTAATAAACAAATTTTTTTCGTCCTGATTGGTGTATTAGGTGATAATTTGGGCATGAATGGCATATTAGGGTTTTCAGAAAGTTTTATAGCTGAATATTTTTGTCGATGTTGTAGAAGTACAAACAATGAATGTAGTAAGCAGCTTGTAGAAAATAAAGGATCACTTCGAAATATTCATAATTATGAAGATGATACAAGAAGTTTATCAACAGGCGTAAAGGAAAAATGTATTTTTAATGTAATTCCGCATTATCATTGTACGATAAATATTACTTGGGATTTGATGCATGATTTATATTTAGGCATTTGTCGTTATGACATGGCTAAAATCATAGATCACTGTATTAAAAAAAACTATTTTAGCTTAGAACATCTAAATAACCGTTTGAAATATTTTGATTATTCGGAAATTGATCGTGGTAAGAAAATATCGTTTATTTCAGCACACCACATTCATAAGGGTAATATAATTATTACAGCTTCAGAAATGTCAGCTTTAATTTCTTATTTTGGAATAATCGTTGTTGATTTAGTTCCAGTTGATGATGATGCATGGGAGTTATATAATACCCTTTATGAAATTATTGACATTGTAACCAGTTCATCAATATCAGAATACCAAGTAATTCATTTGGAACAGTTAATACGAAATCACAACGAACTTTTCATAAACTTATTTGGGCCTTTAGTTCCAAAAAGTCACTTTTTAACTCATTACCCATCATGTATAAAAAATATGGGACCAATAAAGAATCTATCTGGCTCTAAATTTGAATCGTTTCATCAATTGTCGAAAAAAAATGCTCATGTTGTCAACTCAAGGATTAATATTACGTATACTCTGGCATTAAAAATGCAATTACAAGTATGTTATAGAATTTTAAGTCAGAAAGGACTTGAGCCAAAAATTGAATACGGTCAGGTGTTAGAAATTTCTGATAATTATGAATCAACATTTTCATCACATATAGGTGCAGAAGCTTGTACAGTTTCGTGGGTAAAAATCAACGGAACAATATATAAACCTGACTTTGGTATATACGTAAAAAATGATGATTTTAATGATCCAATGTTTGGTATAATTATAAGTATTATTATGAGTAAAGACTGTACGATTTTCTTAGTTTATAAAGAATGCTACACTATTGGTTTTAATAATCATCAAAAGGGATATGAAATTGTAACGCCAAATATTCATGTTAAAACTAAATTATTTAATATAAATAATAATTTTTATGTAAGGCCTGTAAAAATTCATGTTACAGCAAACGGTAAAAAAATTATAAGTCGCAGAGATTTACAATAAAGAGTTATTTTATCTATAATTTTGTTGTTCAATAATTTATTCTGTATTAATATTTATATCCTGTAAATTACCAAGAAAAAAATTGAATTAATGCTTAATTTACTACGAATTGCTAAAATATGTTTTTAACAAAAATTGAAAATTGATTCAAATACAAAGTAATTTATTTGAAATATCGTGCAGGTTTCGTTTGTCTCCTGACAAAATTGATTCTAACGAGCATACTTTTATATTAAATATTGATTTATTTTTACCATCATAATATCTGATGTTATCAAAGAATACGTTTCTTTATTGTTAACACACCGACTTTCCAACCATCTGCACATTATTTCGAAAAGTAAAAAAATCTATTCTATGTAACCATGTAATAGATTGCTTTAGCTTCTGTATTTATTCAATGAATTATTTTTATAATATATAGAAATATTGTTTTATTTGAGATGACTCTTGCAATTTTTTTTTACAAAGATTTATTTTATTCGCCCAAACTTATGTAATTCTTTTTTAAATTAATGCTCGTTTTGCCTAATTGACTATAATGTTGAATTAATCTGATTTTAATTTAATACAATGCAACGATTTGTTCGTTGTTAACAAATGAAAGTTTGATGCAAATCAAATCATCAAATATGGGAGTTGTTAATAATAACTGAATATTTATTTCGCCATTATCAACTATATCATTTTTTAACTACAAACAAATCTTATTTATTATAAATAATCTCTTTTCTCAGTGCAGTATACTACAAACGACGTGAATGATTGTAATAGATCTGATGGATCTTTTTGCATGAAAAATTAATATTAAGAAAGAATTAAGCAAAATTTTATTTGTAGTTTCCAAACATACCTAGAAAATCATCAAAATAGTCTAGTAGCCGTAAATTTAAGCCTTATACTACCGTGCATTAATTACAGAATGAGAATAAAAATTCTTTGCAATTTTCTCTATCTGTGCAAATTTTTATTACTCGGAAACAATAATTACTATTGTTTATCGAGCGTCAAAGTTTGGCAAATTTCGTTTTTCTACCTTTCACCGCTTACGTAGCGAGAACGGTAAGAGATATAAAAAAAAGTTAACATCTTTTTTGTAGAAAATCGAATTTTTCGAGTTTTTATAGTATCTGAAACGTCTTTTTTTTAAAAATTTTTTCGTGAACTTTGCACCCTTCTATTTTTTAGTTTATGGAAACATTTTATACTGAATACTGAAAGAAATCCAAATGCCGTTTTTAGATTCTTTTACCCTTATTTTGGGGGTAAGTTATTTTTTAGTATGAAAATTATATACAGCAAAGTTTTATATCTTCATGGGAAGAGTATGAAACAATTTAAAAAAAATTTTTTTTCGCATTTGTTATAGATAAATTTTATAAACAAATGCGTAATTTTTAATTATTGAAAATTTTTTTTTAAATTTAATTTGTAGGTTTCGTATAAACAATTATCAATAGAATGTTGGCTTTATGAAAAATTAATTTGTAGTATGTTAATTTTTCATTGTTTATGAAAAATTAACATACTTCAAATTAATTTTTTATTGTTTATAAGAAAAATAGTCGCAATAACAATTACGGTTATTGGAAAATTTATTTTTTAATAATGAACGATGCTTTTCCAAACGATGCATCTGAAAGGATTATATTTTTTTTAATCGTTTTTTAAACAATTCTTTGTTATAAACATTTTTTTCACTTTATATATTTTCTTCTAGTTATTCCGTCATTATTGCAAACTAGTTGTTCCTTTTGCAAAATATGTTTCCTGTCTTAACTCAATTGACTATTGGGTTCGTCATCCCAAATTGTACATTTTGTGGATTTACTTGCTATTAATTCAAGGTTTTATAATTTTATTCAAGAATGTTTATTTTGTTTTATTGAAACTGCTTTCTAATATACGACTCTAAAAAGTCATTTGAAAATTAAATCATTGATTTAATCAATTTCTACAATCAAAGATCCCCGTACTCCTTCCCTGTCTATTGGCTGCAAAGCTAGGGCAAAAACGGAAAATTCTACGTTTGTGTCTTTTATTGCGATTAATTCAATAAATAAATTGTACGTCAAGACATGACAATTTTTGGGGGCTCGTCCGAGATGTACAATCAGTGATCTTCTATTGTGGAAATTGTGCATTATGAATTTAAATGTTGGATAATCCGGGTCAACTGAATAAAGATTCTTATCCATATTCCTTGAGAAGTACTAGTAGCACGCCACATCCTAAAGGTTTGCCGTCATCAACTAGACAAAAACGTGATT